CTGCTCCTCTTCTCAGGGTCTCATCCGCCTGACTGAAACTATTATTCCAGAGTCCTATCTGACTCTGCTACTTTCCCAGAGTCCTTCCTTGACTCTGCTCCTCTTCTCAGGGTCTCATCCGCCTGACTGAAAATAAACTGTCGCTTTCCAAACCTTTTCTACTTAAGCTCCGCCCACCTCCTCTGGCTTGTCACCATGGCAACCTATCTCTCTCAGCTAGGCCATGGCCACAATGTAAAGCATAAACACAGTTTAAAACACAGTATAATAAACACTTCTCTACACCTCCCAATTTGGTGTCATCTGCAAACTTGATGATCCTGCCTTCTAACCCTTCATCTAAGTCATTAATAAAGATGTTGAACAGGACCGGGCCCAGGACAGAACTCTGCTTGTGGCACTCCGCTTGCCACTTCTTTCCAGGATGAAGAGGAAGCATTGGTGAGCACCCTCTGGGTTCATCCATTTAACCAATTACAGATTCACCTCACCGTAGTTTTGCCTAGCCCACATTTGACTAGTTTGTTTGCCAGAAGGTCATGGGGGACCTTATCGAAGGCCTTACTGAAATCCAGGTACGCTACATCCACGGCATTCCCCGCATCTATCCAGCTTGTAACTCTATCGAAAAAAGAGATCAGATTAGTCTGGCATGACTTGTTTTTGATAAATCCATTTTGACTATTAGCGATGACCACATCTTGCATTTGTCACTGTTGAATTTTATTTTGTTAGTTCCACTGAAGCCAGCACAGATCCTCTCCAGAAGGGCGATGCTTCCCATGTGTGATGGGGAAAGCGTCGCTAAGAGGGAGTTACACCCAGGCAACGGATTCAATCTGCTGCCCCTCTCCTTCCTCCGCGAAGCCAGTCAAAGCAGAGCTCTTTGCCTGGCCTTTGTAATAAAGTCGTAAATATGCTGGAGCTGGAGCAATATAGCTGAGATGTAAAATGCAATAAGGGGTATTAAATTGTTACAGATGCAAGCCTTCATAGTAATTAAAACTTTCTACAATGTTTTGGGATTTTAATATATTAAGGTGAACAGGTCTACAATGACAGTTAAACTGAAAATTTTAAATTTAAAAACTTTGCTAACAAAGTGGTATTTTTGTTATAACTCCCATTCAATCAATATTGAAACTTTCTCTGTGCAGTCTATTTGTGTTAGTTTATATACAGATTCTTGACTGTTTTGGAAGAAACATTTGCCAATCACTCACCAATGTTTTGTTTTTTGTTCCTAGCTACGTATTCTGGGAGAAATGCTGTTTGAACTGAAAATATTATTTGTTGTATTCGACACAAATAATTTTGATTGCAATTTATTTTGTAGGAATTCGAAGCCATAATAAATGAATCGGGTGAACATGGCATTGTGGTGTTTTCCTTGGGTTCTATGGTCTCTGAAATTCCAATGAAAAAAGCCATGGAAATTGCTGAAGGACTGGGAACAGTACCTCAGACGGTAAGAAAGGAAACTTTTGAACATTCATTTCTATTTATTTAGAGCATAAAATCTTGTTGACCTTTTTGCAAATGTGGCACCATGTTTTTTTATTTTTAATATAATTTTCCACAAAAGAAATGCTATATACGTAAAAAGAGGTGGAACAATATAATGAAAGAAAAGTAGGAAATAAAGATGTATAAGTCTTAACAAAAACTACTTCATTCTTTTCTTTAAGCCAGATTCTTTACAGTGATTCAACTTGTTCTCCTCTTTTTTTCTAAACACCTAATATTTTTATTGCATTTATATTCATTTCATTACAAAAACAATCTCTATAATTCATATAATTACTTTTTTTTCCTTTCCCCAGTTGTGTTACCCCTTGTGCTCCCCATCTCCGGAGTTCTTCTTTTCTTTATACTCCCACCAGAACCTCCTTTCTTCTGGTGGGGGTTGGTTCCCATCTTCTTTCCTTAATGTTTCCTCAATAAATATTTTCCATATATTTTCAAAATCATTGTCCTTCCTTAGGCCTTTTTTAACTTTTAAATTGCATGTTAATTTGTCATTTATTGCTAATTTCCAAATTTCCTTGTACCACCCTTCTATCTTAATTTCCACCTCTCCTTTCCAATATTTTGCTATTTGCCTTGCAGCCGTTAACAACATTGTTATCAGATTCTTTTCATTTTCCTTCCATTCATCTGTATTGTAAATAGATAACAGTATAGTTACTATTTAGCAACAGTTACTATTTAGTTACTATTTAGCAATCCAGCAACAGTATAGTTGCTGGATTTATATAAAAAAATTCTTCATAATACTTTCTATTTCTACTATAACTTTTCCCCAGAAACTCTCTACATATTTGCATTGCCACCACATGTGGTACCCGTTTCTTGGCAACCCCTCCAACATTTTTCTGAACAACTCTTATCCATATTATGTATTTTTGTTGGGGTCAGGTACCATTTCCATACCATCTTATAGTAGTTTTTATCCTAATTTTAGTAATTTTATCCTAATTGATAAATTCTTGAGGTGTGTTGCTCTCCATAATTTCTCCCAATTCCTTTCCCATGTTTTTAAAAATGATCTTAAAGCTAGTTTTTGGTTTTTCTAATTTAACATGACATGCCCCAAAAGTTTAAATGCTTTTATTTGAAACTATAGATTACTCCAAGTAGAATCATGCAAAAAACCCTGATGATCTTTGCAAATATGCAAATAAATTTGCAATAATATTTATTAGCTCTTGTTCTTGGGCTATTTTGACAACTACCTGGGGCACACAGACCAGAACTATCTGTTGACATCTGTTTGTATTCACTTTATAAAAACCATGTTCGTTTCATCCATGAAGGTGCTGTGGCGGTACACAGGAGAAACTCCACCCAACCTTGGCAAGAACACAAAGCTTGTCAAGTGGCTTCCACAAAATGACCTGCTTGGTATGTCTGGGCTAGAAACAAAAAAAAGGGTTGTTTTATTATCTGTACTTGAAACTCCTCCAGTATATTTTTCTCCACTAAGTTATTACCATGAAGCAAGCATACATTGTATCTTGAAAAATCCACAAGTAATTCCAAACATGATTTTAAAAATCAATTTAAAGTTGGAGGGATGTGTTTCTGGATTAATGAATTTTTGAATCTCCTTTAGAAGAGTGAGTTAGAAAAGGAAACTAATAAAGGAAACTTGTTGAAAGGAAACTGAGTGCAGTTTTGATCTCCCTTTCCCCCCAAAATACAAAAACTGAAAGACTAAGGATTTCATCCCACAAAGGGGGTGGGGAGAGGTAGGATTATCTTTTTTGCACGGCGTTTCATGGGGTTCCATCTTTAAAGAAGACCCTTTCTAGCTCAACCATTCCAAGGATATGGAATCGCCTGTGGCTTGGACTGAGCACACTTGCCTGTGACTTGGACTGAGCACACTTTCTAAAACAGGCATTCTTTTTGAAACACCACTTTTCATGGGATCAGCCCCTATAACCTAAAGGAGACAGTCATACTTTTAAAAACACTTATTTCAATGGGACCCACTCCATCTTTAAACCACTAATGGAAACAGAAGGAGTACTGGCGGATCACCACATGAACATTCACACTGAAATATCACAAAGTAATGTGGACAAATCCACTGTTTCCCATCCCAGGGAAAACCCGTTTTTAAGCTTTTCTATGCACAGGGAAAGGAGTGGAGTCGATTTAGGCCCATCTTTGAAATCCTCCTGTTTGTACACTCTATGGAGATGAAATCCCATGAGCAAACACCAGAAGCTGTCCTGAGTCATTTGATAGGCTCCGTGAGAGTCCACCTTTGAAGTATGCAGAAACAGGTAGAAACAGAGGAAAACTTCCATATGATGAGGTCATAGAATCATAAAGTTGGAAGAGACCTCATGGGCCAGCTAGTCCAACCTCCTGCCAAGAAGCAGGAATATTGCATTCAAACACCCCCGACAGATGGCCATCCAGCTTCTGTTTAAAAGCTTCCAAAGAAGGAGCCTCAACCACTGCTGAATGGCTCTCACAGTCAGGAAGTTCTTCCTCATGTTCAGATGGAATCTCCTTTATTGTACTTTGAAGCCATTGTTCCATGTCCTAGTGTCAGCTCCAGGCAGATCTCAGAACAGAAACACGCTCATAAAGGAAATCCTTGGATACACGTTTATTATTCAGTCTGACCAGGATGAGAACGAAGTTAGATCTGAGGATCTTCCCGCCAAACGGCCAGCAGTATGTCCCTCCTGTTGCACCCCTCCCCCCCTCTTATATTAAATTATAGCTACATTCCTTTCCCCAAGGAACAAAGCATTTATCTCCAGCCAGATGGCCCCTTATCAAGTCATAATTCACTTCAGTGTCAGGAAGGAGGATTCAATTCAGCTATGTTGACTTAACTCGAAGAACACATCCTGACACCTAGTCTCCGGGGAAGCAGAGAACAAGCTTGCTCCCTCCTCCCTATGACTTCCTCTTATACATGGCTATCATATCTCCTCTCAGCCTTCTCTTCTTCAGGCTAAACATGCCCAGCTCTTTAAGCCGCTCCTCATAGGGCTTGTTCTCCAGACCCTTGATCATTTGAGTCGCCCTCCTATGGATACATTCCAGCTTATCAATATCTCTCTTCAATTGTGGTGCCCAGAATTGGACACAATATTCCAGGTGTGGTCTAACCAAAGCAGAATAGAGGGGTAGCATTACTTCACTGGACCTAGACACTATTCTCCTATTGATGCAGGCCAAAATCCCATTGGCTTTTTTTGCCGCCACATCACATTGTTGGCTCATGTTTAATTTGTTGTCCACAAGGACTCCAAGGTCTCCAAGGTCCTTCTTGCTGCCACTGCTACTTTCACTTTTGAGGACACATCCAGTTTTTCTTTGTAGGATTTCTCACTCCAGCACTGTTTGAAGGAGAAGGAGGGGAAGGAGAGGGACTACTTGGTTTGCAGAAAATCCTATAAAAAGCAAACATATGAGGAGGGGAAAGCCTAAATGCATCTGGCTGCCATGGACCCCAGGAAAGTTGGAAAGCTCTGGCTATCCAGTCAGTCCACAGCATGCTCTCGTTCCACCTGGCCAATGGCAGCACACACTGAGGGAAGCACCCTGAAACAGACATGACAGCGAGCGAAGGCAAAATGTGCAGGCATTTCCATTTCTAATCTGTCAACAAGCAGAATAGAAAGCTTTGTAGACACACAGAACAGCTCATAACCGTTCTCCCTCAAAATACCATACGTTGAGAACCTTGACTACATATACATTTTTCTACTCCACAAAAGCACTTATTTAGAACTCTATTATGATTGATTCAGGTCACTTTGGATTTAGTGGCATTTAGCAGCAAACTGGAAAGGACACAAGAAATATGTGAACTATGGTGGACTGAAATTTTTGTACTGATAATTTTTTGCCCAAGGGTAGTTGCAAGGGGGACAAAGGAAATTTACTCAGAACAACAGCAGAGGAAGTTTCATATCTGACTGTGCAAATGTCTTTGTCAGTTCATACCTATCCCAGCCCTTGGCTATGTTTGTTTTTTCTGAACACACTTTTAACATGAACATGAGACCCTAAGCTGAACTACTGCTAACAACCTGAGATGGAAAATAGAGAGCAACAGAAGCGATAGTGGTAGAAAGATAATTCCTCTTCTATGGCTTGTTCCATGTTTGTTGATGTCAACTATATCCATGCATTTTAATCATATGTACCAAGAAGGATACAAGAAACCTATTTGTGTTTCTTTACTACTATTCTCTTCTCATTCAACAGCTCATCCCAAAACCAGAGCCTTTATCACTCACGCAGGCTCTCATGGGGTATATGAAGGGATCTGCAATGGAGTACCAATGGTGCTGATGCCACTCTTCGGGGATCAAATGGATAATGCAAAGCGGGTGGAATCTCGAGGAGCAGGAGTAACTCTGAATATAATTGAAATGACTGCAAAGGACATATCTGAAGCCCTGAAAGCTGTTATTTATGATAAAAAGTGAGTAGGAAAGGCACAGTATTACTAGATTCAATTTATGGTTGTACTCAAGCAATTTGCACATTCAAAACTAAATGCCTGCAATGCACAGGGCTAGTAAGACAACTTTACCTACCCGCCTACCTATCAAGCTACAGTTTATTGTTGTTGCTTCCACTGGTATGCATTAGTTATTCGGGGAAGTAAACTGATTCATTTTGGAAAATGGAAATCTCCATAACCTTTGGGAGATTTTATGATCTTTGGAGTCACAACCATTTGAAAAATGATGCCATAACCTCTTGGTAAAAAGCATGAACTGTTAGAGTCACAATCTTTTAGAAAAAATGTCATTTGTGCAAGGCAACTAGGTTTCTGAGCTGTTAAGCTGACGTCCTAAATATTTCTTTGAACTGTTAGGAACAAAGATATGCCTATGCGCGCGCACACACACACACACACACATATTCAGCAGAGTTTCAGAAGTGTTCCTTTTAGTTGACCAAAAAAATCTACTCTCCTTTAAAATATGCTTTCAAGAGACTTCTTTTAAAGTAACATAGTTGGTTTACTCACAAACTTCATGTATTCAGCATACAGGTATTTAGCTTTTTCAATCCAGTTACAAATAGGAATTGAAGTAGTTTTTTCTGTGTAGGTAACACAGGGCATCTTTCTTAAATGTCTCCTGCATATGCCATCACTTGGGGACCCCTCCTCCCCAGCACCAACTGCCGCTCTGGGCCAGAGTGAAGAGGGGGGGAGGCAGGGGACAGTTCCACCTTGTCTCCTGTGCCATTCTAATAATATAATATAATATAATATAAATACATATAATATTTATAATATTATAATGTAATGCAATATAATACTACTAATAATAAAATATATTATAATTATATATTTATATTACATGTAATATTACTAATAATATTACAATATAATTGGTATAGTACAATATGGCAATGTTTAAAACTGATATTGTACTATGCTAATAATATAATATATTGTATGTATGTATATATACCTTGTAAGCCACTCGGGGTGAGAAGGGCGGCATATAAATGTCGTAAATAAATAAATAAAAAATAATAAATAGAATCAATAGTCCATAGATTATCTGTGTTCTTAGAGTTTAATAGAGTCACTGCTGTCTGTTTCAACTAACTTCTAAAAGCATACATTTGTTTCTCCTGAAGTCTCCAAGCATACAGTTTCTGCATTGAAGTCTAAACTGAACTGTTTCCAAAATAGAGTCTGAGTCTTGAACAAGCCCAGTTCTTATCACATGGTCTGCAGCCCTGGATACTCCTTTCCTGAACAGGAACTGCACTGGGACACAATCACTCAATTTCATTGAACTTATTTTGATTTTTTCCCCCACAGAAATTATTGTCCTCATGCCATTTTTGGAGTCTCCTTCAATTGTTTTAGGTCTTTTTTCAACTTTCAGTTTACTTCCTTGTTGAGAAAGTGCCCCTCCCCCCCATACTTTAAAACAGATGAGGCATCTCCTAATACATAAGGAAATGTTGGGCCATTATTTGTTAAAATCTTCTGGGTACTAGGGACCCATGGGAGCTGTATGCAGCTCATATATCCTCTTCTCTTAGGTTTTAATGCTGCGTCCTGTGGCATGGTAGAGCTCACTTTGTCATGAATTACTTTTCAATAACTTTGAAGCATAGGTTCATTTATTGCAATTTCCAGTGTGCGAAGGTATATCAGATTACAGAAAACATTTAGACAAAGAATTACATTGGACATACATATTCTATGCAACTACATTGGATTTACAATTACATTGGTTAACAAACAAACAAAGGGGAATTACATTTTCACTCAACATTCACACACATGTACACACAATCATCCACATGCACCCAAATATTACCGAATCATTTTCTCCCTCCTTGGAGAAGCACCTGTTAGGCCAGACCTTGCTTTCCTGCAGCCTGCCAACATATAGTTCCATAACTTCCATAATGCCATAATTTCAAAACACCAAAATACCAAAACTTCTTCCCTAAGAACAATGCCAAGGACCAGATCTCTGTTTTCCATACAACAGAACCTGACTCCCTGCACAAAACCCAAGACCCCAAAAGCACACTTCTTCCTCTTCCCTTGAGAAAAAAGCCCCAAAGTGTCCAGAATCATGCTTTCCCATAGCATATCTGACACTCTCCGAATACACTATCTCTCTCCTTCCCATGGAGCAGAGCATAGCGGGTGAACAGCGTCTCTGTTTGTCACAATTTGAGCATTATTAGACTGAGTCTTTTATAGAAATATTCTGTTGATGTAGTCCCAAAGTTGTAAATTAATGATAGACGTCTTCCATCCTGGATCCATTCGGGGGGGGGGGGGGGGGTTGATGGGGGGGGGGCTGAGTCTGAATGAAAGAGGGTCTACCCTAGCAAACCTTTTGTATCATTACCCCAATACCCCCATGCATATGAGATATATTGAGCATGGTGATCAGATCATGATATGAATAAACATAACAGTTTAAATAATGTACCAGTAAGGCCTTTTCGCAGACCACCATGAGAATTTCGGGGGGGGGGGGCTGAAGCCCCCAAAGCCCCCCCCCCTCTGGCTACATGCCTGAATGATAGACATCTTCTATCCTGGATCCATCTCAGTTTCCTGGGCAGATGTTGATCTTCTTGATTGGTGTTGACAAACACGAGGCTTGTGTTGACTTCCTTCTAAACATAAGGAATGTTGCAAACATTTCCTTAACTTGAAAGAACCATTGTCACAGTTCTTATCAATTCTCATTAGCAGGTTTTGATCATAGTTCCAGCAAGCAGGTAGTTAGGCATTGCAGGCCTTAATATTATACTGGTGTTTCCAAAAAATTTAACTCCAACCACACATCCTTCCATTCTTCCATTCATTCCCACACATCATATTAAATTCATATTTGTCAAATCTGCACATTGAATTTCTTTTTACACTTCAACTTCAAGCGCTATTGATCCAGGATCTCATGCCTTCATTATTTTTTTTCTCTGCATGTAGTATTCCTCCAAAAGTATATTGTAAAACATTTTTAAATATGCTTTTCAGATATAAAGAGAATATCCAGCGCCTCTCAGAACTTCACCTGGACAGACCCATCCACCCTCTTGATCTTGCTGTGCATTGGGTGGAGTTTGTGATGAAGCACAAGGGAGCTCCCCATCTGAGGCCAGCAGCCCATGACCTCAACTGGGTCCAGTACCACTCTATTGATGTCATTGCCTTCCTCCTGGCTGCATCATTGCTAGCACTGTTCATTTCCATGAAGTGTTGCATGTTTTGCTGCAGGAAGTGTTTCTGCAAAAGTGGAAGACTGAGCAAGAAAAGCAAATCAAAGTCTCACTAAAATGTGGTGGGGCATCAGGGAGTACAAGGAAATTGGTCATAAAGCATCCTGCACCAATCCTCGCATGACTGTGGCCAATTCACACGGGTACTTTCCTAAAACAAAAAGATGATCACTGATGTCACTGCTTGTCACTACCTATCTTTTCACCCTTTGAAAACCTGGAAATGGCCATGTGGGGCCTGCCTGGCTTACAAGGTGGGGTTTGGGGGAGCTGTACCTATGGAGATATAGCTATGCAAGGCACATACATTTCCTGATGTAGGATCTTGGACATTAATTTTAGGAAATTTGGAAAAAAATTGTTGCACACATGAATTTTGCAGATCAAGATAGGGATGTAGCTTTCTTATTGCAGGAAAAACAAAAACCAAGGGTCTTTTGCTAGATGCATGTGGCATAAGATTTTGTGGACTCCATCTTGCTTCATCAAATATGTGGAGTGCCCAAGAAGAATTAGGAGCCTTTAAAGTGCTACAGAAGTCTCTGTGCCCAAGGAGATTATGATTTTTTTTATCCATGATACTAGAGTAGCTGCAGATGATGATGATAATAATTGCACTATGTAACAAGATTTTTGTTACTGGGTTATAAATGTCATTTCCTTATTGATTCTATCATAAAAACATGGGAAAAGTTTATTAAACTGCAAAAACTTTGTTTTTACCAGACATCCTGCAGCACATTTTGCTATAGCTTTTCAATCTCTGAGTCTCAACCAATTCAACATACCGTATATAAGACGACTGGGCGTATAAGATGACCCCCCAACTTTTCCAGTTAAAATATAGTTTGAGATATATTCGCCATATAAGGCTACCCCTCTTCCAACGCACACCAATTTTTTTAAAAAAGCATCAGATTTGATTTCAATATTGTAATTTTCCTATTATTGTACCTCCTTCTCTGCCTCTCAGATCTCGCACATGCGCACTTGCACCGCTTCACTGTAGTCTTCAGGAGCGAGATCTGGGAGACAGGAGGAGGTACAGTCATAGGTGGGCCAGACAGGGGTGGGCCAGACAGGTAAAAGAGGTGTGTTTTTCTGGGCCCAGAGCCACTCTATCTCTTTCCATACCCCAGGCACCCCGGACGCCTGCAGCTTGCTCCTCCCTTCACTTACACCTTCCCAGTGAGGCGCCCCTTCACCTCACCATTGGGACCGCATTAAGTCCACGAATCCTGATGAATGGATTTTCTTCTACCATACTTGTACAGCCTTAATGCTTTCATACAGTCGCTGCATACGGCAGGGACATGGGCAATGCCATTTTTGAGCTCCCCCCACAATATGCGGCAACCACAGATTCTCCAATCCGATTGGAAGTTTCAGCACCCGCTATATAAGACTACTCCTGTGCATAAGACGACTCCAGTGTATAAGACTACTCCAGCATATAAGACTACCCCATGTATAAGACTATCCCATGTATAAGACGACCCCGGACTTTTGAGAAGATTTTCTTGGATTAAAAAGTGGTCTTATACACCAGAATATACGGTAGTTTGTGACAGCCACCAAAATGAAGTTTCTGGAGTATAACAACTACTTTCAAAGTAAGGACTGCACAATTAAACAGGAAATCACACTTTCAAACCAGGAACAGATTTTTTTTCAAGTTTTGTTACATAGTGTTATTATTCCTTTCCAACCCCCAAACTTCTCTTTGTTTCATCTTCAAAAAGGCCGTTACTACCTTTATATTTTCTTCTGTCATAAGAGAAGTGCTATGACATTTACTGGTGCTGCAGTTTCTTGTTGTTTTAGAAGCACTCTGTTGTTCCTTCACACAGCTGAATAAAATCCCACATTTTCTGCTTTGAATTGGAATATATGGCAGTATGGACTCAGATATTCCAGTTCAAAGCAGATATTGTGAGATTTTTTTTGCCTTGATATTCTGGGTTATATGGCCGTGTGGAAGGGCCCTGTGACAGTTCAATAACCAGTGAACAGCATTATAGAATAATCCTAAGTCTAGGTAAGAATAATGTGAGGAACAGCTTGTCAAAGCCCTGAGTTTAGTTTTTCTTTGGTACAACCATCATACTGTTGATTGTGAGTATCTATAGGGCCATCTAGTGAATTAATGATGTTAGTACCAGGATTTGAAACAGAATACCTGCTATGGTAGAGCACACAGCAGACTTGATGTCACAATCAAAGGAAACCCTAGTTGTTGCTTTGAACTGGATTATATGGCAGTGTAGGCCCAAATAATCCAATTCAAAGTGGATAATGTGGATTATCTGATTTGATAATCTGGATTATATTTCAGTGTAGAAGATGCTAAATCAGTCAGCCCCCCCCTTCATTTGTTGGCTAAGAGAGCTACAATTAGACTGAGCTAGCCTTAAGCAGTTGGATAATAACTGTACTATCCAACTAAATAACTCCCTTAACCATATTTGACTTAACATCAATGCAGATGTTTTAAAAAACAAACAATAGCACTGTGTATCTAACATTATGCAATTACAGTGAGAGCCTAAATTGAACTATGAATCAATATGGTTGATTGTTGTGTCACATTCTCTGCAAATGAACCTCATGTAATATGGAATGCTATTATTTCTTAAAATAAATTTCTTAAAATGAGGAGATGAATCCTTGAGAATCACTTATTGGAATTCGGGGGCAGATGCATGTATGTCTAAATAAGTCTAATTGGTGTAACACATCATTTTGAAAGTATTAGGACATAAAAAGGGTGAAAACAGAGACAAATATGGCTGCTCTGGCCCTGCCCACTCCTCATATGAACAGAAAGATGGTATGTAGCTGTCTTTAGGTAAATATAATTGCCATTCTCTGTGTGACTAGAAAGTTTGTGCAAATAAAGTTTCTAATGATGAAGATCCTGAAGATCTGGTTTCAGGCTCTTTTGTTATTCACTTATTGAATAAGGGGCGAAAAGTGAATGGTGTTGAATTATGGAATCTGCATTAAAAAACCCCGATCTACCATTTAGTGGGGTGAAGATATAGATAACAGAACTAAATTAATTCCCAAATACCTTAGAATCTTAAAGTGTGATGTCTTCCTTCAGGAATCCACTCCTGACAGATGATCACCCAGTTGATTGAAACATTCACATCTAGCTCCAACAGACAAGAGTTCTTTGTCCCACCCTGGTCATTCCACAGATATATAAACCCCTTTTCCTAGTTCCAACAGACCTCACTACCTCTGAGGATGCTTGCCATAGATGCAGGCGAAACGTCAGGAAAGAATGCCTCTAGAACATGGCCATATAGCCCGAAAAAAACCTACAACAACCCAGATCACCCAATTCTTATTGAAAGACCTCCAATAAAGGGTGATTCTCCACCTTCTGAGGGAGTCTATTCCATTGCTGGAAAGCTTTTAGAGCAAAGACACAAATCTCTGTCTTGCAATTTAAATCCATTAGTTTCTGACTTAGTCTATGGAGCAGCAAAAAACAAACATCTTCCATCTTTGACATGAGACTCCGTCAGATATTTAAGCATGACTATCATTTGCAAATATTCTCCAGTCTGGGCGAAATATATCCCACTGCCTTAACTATTTTACTTTTTTTTTAAAATGACTTGCATACAGTGTTCCCACTGATGGAAGAGGCCTCTAGTTAAAATTTAGCCATGAATACGGAAAATGGAAGGAAGCTTTTGATTTAATCTATAGCACGTGTTATATTATTTCATACTATACCTCGGACTAGCCAGATGGAAAGAAAAGCAAATTGGGATTGATCCCACAGTGGTTCTTTGGCATCAATGTAAAAAACAAAAACAACCCCCCCCCAAAAAAAACAAAAAAAAAACAAAGCCAAACAAACTACATACAGAAAACAGTTAGTTTTCCAATCTAGTGCTTCTCAAAGTGGTGGTCAATGGACTGGTCCCAACCCTTGAGTCACTGGATGCTGATCCCTGCGGAGTTTGCAGGAAAAGAACATACAATTGTAGCAATGAGCACAAATATGGGCTGCATTTCTCTGTGGGAGTTGTGAATGCATAATCTGGAGTGATGCACTCTTGACTGTTACATATTCATGGTCCCTGTGTAGTTTCTACTTTAGGGGCTACATAGGGATCATAAAAATCTCCACTTTGTGTGGAATTATCACTGTGATTGATGGAGCCCCCTGTGGCGCAGTGGGTTAAACCCCTGTGCCGGCAGGACTGAAGACTGACAGGTCGCAGGTTCGAAACCGGGGAGAGGCGGATGAGCTCCCTCTATCAGCTCCAGCTCCTCATGCAGGGACATGAGAGAAGCCTCCCACAAGGATGATAAAAACATCAAATCATCTTTGCGTCCCCTGGGCAACATCCTTGCAGACGGCCAATTCTCTCACACCAGAAGCGACTTGCAGTTTCTCAAATCGCTCCTGACAGGACAAAAAAAAACAAACAAACTGTGATTGACAGGATCTGTTCCCCTGTTGCTTTTGCAACAGCTGGCTCCTGCCCCCAATAAGTAAGAATTTGACAGACCCTATTTCTGCCTGTTAGACCACAGATCAATCACGGAAAGCGGTGGGAACAGCAGCCAGATGTTTCCTGGGTGACATGGGAACAGACTCCTCTTTTATCATAGTAGCTACTTCCCAGTAAACAGATATTGGTGAGAGGCTTAATCCGGGATTCACTGCATAACACCATAACCATGGTGCTTATGCAAGGGTAAATCCCATACAGCATCATGCCCATGGTTCTGTTCCCTGGCATAATGGGACTGTGTGGGGGTGTTAGCCACCCCACACCTCTTTAGATTCCTTGAGAGGTGCTATTTCAGCTAATGCATTTGTTTCTGAAAAATAATTCTACAATATTTACTATTTCCAGTAGGTGGTGCTGTGGCTTTATCAAAAGCTGAAACCTGCACATTTTTTTGTCTGTTCTGTCAACTGCTTCTAACATTTATATATATATACTAGCTTGGGGACCCTGCGGTGCCCGGGTTATTTGAGAAAGGGATTGTGTGCCAAGGCTGGTCTTTATCAGTCATTTATGTGGCTTGCAGTGCTCTCTGGAAGTTAGTGAAAGTACTGCGAGTCCCATTGTCCATGGTCCATACTCCTCCAAACAGCACCAGGATGTAGAGTGGGTCATGGGGACTCTGCGTGCCAAGTTTGGTCTTGATCAGTCATTGGATGAGGGTTGCAGCAGTCTCGGGAAGTGAGTAAAGGTACTGCAAGTCCCATCATCCATGGCCCATCCTCCTTAAAAACTGCACCACAATGTAGAATGCGTCATGGGGGCTCTGTGTGCCAAGTTTGGTCTTAATCAGTCATTGGATGAGTGTTGCAGTGGGTCCAGAAAGTGAGTGAAGGTACTGCAAGTACCATCATTCACGGTCCATCCTCCTCCAAACTGCACCAGGATGGAGTGTGTGTTATGGGAGCTCTGTGTGCCAAGTTTGGTCCTTATCGGTCTTTGTTGGGGGCCGCAGTGGTCTGTGGAAACCAAAGGGTTTGAAAGTACTACAAACCCCATCATCCATTGTCCGTCCTCCCCAAAATCTCACCAGGTCCTAAAGGGGGTCATGGGGGTTATGTGTGCCAAGTTCAATCTTGATCAGTCATTGGATGTGGGTTGCAGCAATCTTGGGAAGTGAGTGGAGGTACTTCAAGTGCCATCATCTATGGTTTGCCCTCCTCCAAACAGCAGTAGGATGTAGAGTGCGTCATGGGTTGGGGACCGCAGTGGTCTGTGGGAACCAAAGGGTTTGAAAGCACTACAAATCCCATCATCCATTGTCCGTCCTCCCCAAACCTCACCAGGACAGAGAGGGGGTCATGGGGGCTATGTGTGCCAAGTTTGTCCAGGTCCGTCACCCGTGCTGTTCACAGTGGCCTGTGATAGTGGCAGCCAATCAGAAAGCTGCCACATACATACCCACATACAAACATTCACTATCCATCTATCATTTATCTATCTGTCTATCTATCTATCTCTATCTATCTATCTATCTATCTATCTATCTATCTATCATCTATCTATCTATCTATATCTATCTTGTTAGGAAAAGCCTGGGTCCTCTGTCCACCATGGGTAGTGCTGCTACTGCAATTGTCCATGTATGCCACATATACACAATACAAAGCAAAACCAAGGTATTTATCACCTGTGACAATGTTCATGCTGCCTGCACATTTTTTCCTACTTGAAAATGCTCTCCAAGGTGAAGAATTCTTAGGTTTGGTGTGATGCTTAGCTTTAGCTTTACATTTGTATCCTGGTAATGGGTGCTGCAAGCCTGAATAATCATCATCACCTCCACAACTCATTCACACAATAGAGTAAATTTACGGAGTGGCATAAACAGGCATTCCATGCAAAGGGGAAATAATATTGGCAGGTCATTTTTCATGATGTAACATAGAGCAGGGTGAATAAAATCCAACCTACCAGAATGCCATCTTCTGCATGTCTCTTGTAAGATTATAGACTTCTGTTCCCCAGTAATCTGATGTCCGAAATAAAGAAAGGAAACAGTTCTCCCCATAAACTGACATTAGCAACATCAAAGGGATTGTGACCCCATCTTGAGTCACACTGACATGATTTAAAGCACGTATTTCTTAAATTATGGTTTTGATTTTGTTGCACAGGCTTTGGGTTCCAGACATTTATTGAAGTGTACCGAAGAGAGTGGACTCTGTCTGTCTAAATATCACCAGGAATGAATCTAACCAAAACAATGGAGGCAGGGGCATTGTCCCAGCCCCAAATTCAAGACATCCAGCCTCACAACTGCTTGAATGTATTATCTGCTGTATGTGTTGAACCAATGGCATACATAACTCTCCCATAGTTTTTATTACTTTCAAAATGTCTTCTTGAATGTTGAAATTCTCCAACATACTGTGATTGTATAACCACTTAAGATAGTTCAAACAAAGGCTGGTGTCCAATAGGATGGTTGGTACCCTTGATCCTCTAAGCCAGAGATATCAAACGTGTCACCCTCCAGATGTTTGGGCCTCCAAATCCCAGAACCCCCTAGCCAGCTTGTCCAAATGGCGAGGAATTCTGGGAGCTAAAGTCCACAATATCTGGAGGGCCACAAGTTTGGCATCGCTATTCTAAACCAACTCAGCCTCATCACTTGAGTGGGCTCATATTTTGGTGAAGGGCAAAGGGAACAAGTCCTCATTCTCATGTGGTCAGGTTGGATTGATGCTATACAATAGAACATGGATCCACTTTAAATCTGGTTGCTGCCTCCTGCAGACTTCTGGATTTTGTAGTTTAGAGAGGGGCCTTTAAACTGCTCAATCAGACAGGTCCTGGGCCTCACTAAACTACAAATCCCAGAATTGTGCAGGAGGCAGAAAATGGATTTAAAGTGGATCCATGCTCTAGTGTGATGAGGCGCCTAGCTGGCAAAAGCCAGGCCAGTCTACTCCACCTGGATCATCCATACAGGTCTCATTGACCTGCACTGAATATGTGAATGAATTCCTGTTTTTTTACTACTGTTTTCTCAAATAGATAGCTCAATTCTCTAGGCCAGTGTTTCTCAAACTCTGCTCCTCCAGATGTTTTGGACTTTGATCCCCACATTTCCAAAAATAGCTGGTAAGCTGGATGGGATTTCTCGGGGCTGAAGTCCAAAACACCTGGAGGAGCAGAGTTTGAGAAACACTGCTCTAAGACGTACTTTCTTTCAACCTCATCTATTGTAAAAGAAGCATGGAAATCACAGCTAACCCTGTAATTAGGTTAAAGTGTGGAATTGTTTGGAAAGTCTGAGTGAAGATAATCATGTTAAGCTGCAATCAATTGTCACATTAAAAAGCCAACAAGTATAGTGTGTGTGTGTATACAGGGTGCGGCAGCATAACTTCCTTTTTAAAAAATGCACGCCATTCAATC